ATTGATAAGAATGTTGTTTATTGGTCCATAAAACCGCAAAAAAAAAAAAAAAAAAAAAGAATGTTCCAGAACATATGAGTTCCTTCTCTATCTCTTCCCCATCCCAAGATGAGCAGGAAGCTTCTAGAACCCTCTGTTGCTTACAGTTGAGTAGAAGGGTCAGAGGCGGCAGCCATTGCTGGGGGTCTGCCTTCACTGCCTCCGCCTAGCCCTCTGAGGCTGGATGTCCATGCATCATCCCCATAAAGCCTTCTCGTCCCTGAAAGAAGGCATCAGCCCCTTGGAGCAGCTGCAAAAATGAAAAAGAAAATCATGTTACAGTTGATGCTGGGGATAATACATGTGGTCCAGGAGGGACAGTCCACCATTGGATGCCCTGACCCCTCTCTTCCTCACCCTCTCTCCACTCTCTGGGGAAACCTGGTTCTTAGCTTTGCTCCTTGCCAGCATTGGGGGAAAGGTGCTCCTCCAAAGTCTTATTTATGTTCTTCCATGTGGAGGTTCTCCAGTACCCTCTCCTCTAACCCTTTCTCTTCTCCTTCTGATGTTAGAGCCTGCCGCTATGGGGCCTCAGTGTCCCAGGATTGTCGGTCCATTTCTAATCAAGACCCAAACTCTCTCGGTGGTCTTTGTTCTGTACTGTTAGTATTACACCCATTTGACTCATCCCAACATCTGAAACCTCTTAACCATGGTTGTTTTCCCAATCTCTACTAGGCTATTAGGGTTAATGCGCCAGACTACAAAACCATTTAAACTGCAAGGTCGGCAGTTCAAATTCACCAGCTGCTCCTCGGTTGCTATGAGTCGGAACCGACTCGATGGCACTTAACAACAACAACTAGGCTATTATTGGTCTCCATACTTTTAAATAGCAACTTCCACACCCCACAAAAAGACGACGTGCACCCCACCATGTGAACTTTTCTTTTAAGTGGCATACTTGTACTGATTGTGCTAAGACATCATGCACATTGTAAAATATGCACAGAAAAGGAATTAAAATGAAAATCAATGCCAACTGATGTCCTCACATCTTCTTGCACACATACTGGGTATAAACACCCTGGTCTGGAAGTTACCACCTGGACAGTGGCCTCCAGAGCCCCCTACCTGGGTATGGACATGGAGAGTTTTTGTTGTTGTTATGTGCCGTGGAGTCGGTTCTGACTCATAGTGACCCTGTATACGGTTTCCGAGGCTGTAAATCTTTCCATGGAGAGTAGGACTGGCAAAATTAGAAATTGTAGAGTATTTCCTTTGTTTTCTTTTTGTGTTTCGTGTTGACCAAAACCAAAATACATTTTCACACTCAACACATCCTTGTAATTCACCAATCACCAACTCAGATATCATGAATGGGCCTGAGATGGTCCAAGACTCACCTGGGTGCTTGATCTTCCATAAGATCAAACAGAAGAATCCCTTGGTCTTCAACATGGCTTTGAAGAAGCAGTGACGGCTTAGTGGTAGAATTCTCACCTTCCACACAGGAAACCCAGGTTTGATTCCACACCAGTGTTCCTCAAGCAGAGACAGCAGCTGTCTGTCTGTGGGGGCTTGCATGTGACTTTGATGCTGAAGTTCTGATGTGGCACTGTATGATAAGCACTGGACTGCAAGGTTAGCTTGAACTGCAAGGTCAGCAGATCAAACCACCAGCTGCTTCTTGGAAACGTTATACAGGGTCATTATGAGTTGGAACTAACGCGACAGCACTTCATAAACCCAACATGATGTTAAACAGGTTTCAGCAGAATTTCCAGACAAAGATGGACTAGGAAGAAAAGCTGAGCACATCTACTTCTGAAAATCAGCCCGTGAAACGCCATATGGATCTCAATGGTCTGATCCTCAACCAATCATACGATGGTGTAGAACAGGGCAACGTTTGGTTCCCTGTGATGGGCTCACCCCATTGTGATGGGCTCACCCCATTGTGATGGGCTCATCATGAGGCAGGGATGGTGTGATGACATCTCCCAGCACAGGGCTCAGCAGAAGAGAATTATGGACAGAAGGGTGGGAGGAAGGAGCGCCAAGTAGCCAATGACCTGGGAATGGACACGAGCCTGGAGAGAGGCTTCCCTGGGCTGAAGCAGAGAAACAGCAGAGAGCAGGACCAGGGTGCCAGGATCTTGGGTGTCTTGGAACAGAAGTGGCTGGACTGTCCACACTAACTCAGTTTGCCCAGCACAGAGACAGTCAACGGCCACTTCAGGTCTCTGCAGGGTGCAGAGCAGATGGCACTCGGGGAACAGCATTTGGCTGCTCAGTTTGGAAAAGTCTGGAAGAGGAGGGGCTGCTACTCCGTATCTGTAACTCAGACGAGGGAATGGTGGAAGGCCAGTCACCAGGTGGTCAGTTCAGATCCATGGCACCCGCCATGTGTACCGGAGTAGAGCTATGCTGTATAGGATTTTCTGTGGCTGATTTTTGGAAGTAGATCTCCAAGCCTTTCTTCCTAGTCTGAGAGCTCTGTGGAAACCATGTTCAGCAACACAGGAGTGGGAGGGGCATTCTCTGGGAATAAAGCCCAGGTCTCCTAATAGAAAGCAAGAACTTTCCTCCACAGCCCCGCTGCCCCTCCTTCCAAGCCCTCTGGTGGACTCAAACCCCCAAACATTCAGTTAGCAGCCAAGCACATAAACTATTTGTACCATCTTCTAGTGCCAGGGTGGGGAACTATGGATATTTAAAACATCATTTGCGGACCATATAAAATTATCAGCTTCAACATTATCCTGCTGTATTTGGTCAAACACTGAATTAGCTCATCCCTAATGTGATGGCTAGGTTAATGCGCTGGACTGCAAGGTCAGTTTGAACCACAAGGTCAGCAGTTCAAGCTCACCAATCACTCCTCAGGATGTTCATGAGTCGGAACCAACTCGAGAGCACTTAATAACAACAATGTAATGGCTGGAGCTGCCGTTGCTTTGGCAGGGCCAGACCAGACAAGTTCACAGGCCTCATATGGCCCACAGACTGACATTCCCCAGCCCTGCTCTAGTGGGAAGAAAAGAGAGACGGGAATGGACAGTTGGGGTCCTGGAAGGGAAAAGCAGGAGGAATGAAGGGGAAGCACAGAAGGGCACGTCCACGCCTTTCACTTCGTCGTCTGCCTGGGCTAACTCAGACACGCACTAGCCCCTGATCTGAACCCTTGGGAGGGACCTGGCCACCTCTGTCCAGACCCCCACCACTTGTGGCTCCACAGCCCTGCAATCCATTCTTCAGGGCCCTCCTGAACCGGGGGCTGCTGAGCAGCAAGATGGTGGAGTGCAAGGAAATACAGGCGTAAATGACCACCTCACAGGCCCAGTACTTGTACAGCTGGCGGGGCGTGACCTTCATAATGACCACAATCAAGGTCAGAAAGTAGGACGTGTAGAAGACAAGAAAGAAGGCCAGTGTTTTCAGGGCCGTGGTGTGGGCCTGGGTGCTGATATCGGGGACCCCATGCCGTCCACCCCTCATCTGGCTGAGGTGCTGGTGCAGAGAGAACATAAGCAGGGCAGTGGACACCAGAAACAGCAGAAAGGGCAGTGAGAGCGTCAGAATCTCATGGACCAGAAAGAAGCGTAGCTGGAAGGACCTGGCCCGCTCAGCCCAGCTGTTATTGGCGGAAGGAGACTGGGAGGCCTTCATCTGAGTCACAATGGTGTTCCCGATGGCTGAGGGGATGGTGGCCAGGACAGAAATGGTCAGGGAGCCCAGAAGCAGACCGCGCATGGCACGGGAGAGTCTCCACCTGAGCCAGAGGAAGGTGGGGTGGGAGAAGGAGGCAATCTTCACACAGTAAAAGGCGGAGAGCCAGCCATTCATCCAGAAGGTGAGCATATTACTAAAGTCCCAGAAAATGTCCAAGTAGCCCACTCTGTCGTTGGAATTCACAATGACCAGGAGGTTGTTCAAGAACGACATGCTATGCAGGCCAAGCCGGGAAGCGGCCACACAGGCCACAATCATGTCCCCTGAGAGCAGTGCCCGACCCTGCACCCATTCCCTGCCCAGCACGGCCACCATGAAGCCATTCTGCAACATGGCGGCCAAGGACTCCAGGAAGAAGACGGCCATGAAGAACAGTGTGAATGGGGAGGGCATCTTCTCCTGAAGGCAGGACACATTCACGACAGACGAGCTCTCAGACAACAGACCCAGAACCCTCTCTCCCTGAGTCCATGCAGAAGCCCAGCTACCAGCACACCCTAGCTGCTCTGCAGGACTAAGAAGTGGATCCCACACCATGCAAATCCCTCCATCTCAGTGACATGCGTCTCCATTTGCCTGCATTTGCCTGCCCTCTCTCTGAGCAAACACAAGAGATGCCAACACCACAGAAGCTCAAAGGATCAAAAATGCCCACTTGGTACACATTGCTGTTGTTGGTCTTAAGTGCCACCAAATCAGTTCCAACTCATAGGACTCTTTATAGAGTTTCTGAGGCTTATAAATCTTTGTGAGAGCAGAAAGCCTCATCTTTCCCCCACAGAGCAGCTGGTGGGTTCGAACCACCAACCTTGTGGCTCACAGTCCAGAGTTTATCCCATAGGGCCACTGCATTCCCATAATCGGCAATACTTTGCATTATTTATTATGGTAGAGACTATGAGGGGACTTCCAAAGTCATGGAAAAATTGCATTATATTTTCATTCAATTTTTCTAAGAATTTTTTGAAGGCCCGCTGTATATAACAAAGCATTTGCCATTTCAATATTTGTATGTATATGACTCGTGATGTTCATCACACAATTTCTATACATATATGACTTGGTGACATTAATCACACAACATCTGTACATGTATGGCTCTGTGACGTTATTCACACAACACCTGTACATGTATGACTCAGTGACATTAATCACACAACATCTGTACATGTTTGACTCAGTGACTTTAATCAAACAACACCTGTACATGTATGATTCCGTGATGGTAATCACACATATGAACATGTATGACTCGGTTATGTTAATCACACAACTTCTGTACATGTATGACTCAGTGACATTACTCACACAACATATGTACATGTATAACTCGGCGGCATTAATCACACAATTTCTGTACATGTATGACTCAGTGACATTACTCACACAACATCTGTACATGTATGACTTGGTGGCATTAATCACACAACAGCTGTACATGTATGGCTCTGTGACATTACTCACATACCATCTGTACATGTATGACTCGGTGCTGTCAATCACACACACCATGCACTGTAGTAATGATCGCACTGTCTGCACATTATTTTTTGAAAGTGCTGTTCCTTTACTAAATTCACCTTAAAAGCTGCCCTTACTCTTGGAGTCCTGGTGTGACGCTATAGGATAAGCACTCGACTGCTAACCACAAGGTCACTTGTTCAAACCCACTAGCTACCCTTTGGAAACCCTATATAGGGTAGCTATGAATTAGAACGAACTTAATGGCACTTAGCCACAACAATAACCCTAGTATTTTCCCCTAAAGTGACCTCCACCACCCACAAACCTTCCCTGATCATCCATTCCTGGGCTAAAATTCGATTCAGTAGCTTTTGCACAAAGTCCTGAACCTATTCCTGAACAGGTGAAGATCCACAGGTAGTGCTCACCAGTCACTCCATGAGAGAAAGAAAAGGTTTTCTGCTTCCGCAAAGAAACCTCGGAAACCTTTTAAGAATCATTGTGAGTCCTAATGGACTTGACAGCGCTTAATGACAACTAATCTAAAGATTGGGGATTTGAACTCAAGACCTGGTGATCCGCTTCCATAAACATTGCAGCCAAAAAACTCTACCAAGCTGTTCTACTCTGTAACACGTGAGGGTGACATGAGTTAGAATTAACTTGATGGCCAGGGCTTTGTTTTCCTTATAATAGAGAAGGAAGGGATTCGTGCCTACAAGACTTGGGGCCCTAACTCCAGATATCTACTCTTCAGGATGCTCAAGGGATCCAAGACCTCACTAGCCAACTCCATGCTGGAGGTCAAGGAGACTCCTGAAACACAGATGTCCCTCAAATTCTAACCTAAACTCTGTTCATCATTAACACTTTCCATCAGTGTGCTTGACAAATTAAAATGGATGGGCTAATAGTGGATAATTGTCCCATGCAAAACTGCCACCTTTGCCATGAGACTGGAAGAATTGGATGGCGTCCACTGACCTACCTGTCCTCACCACCGCACACACTTGCCACAGCCAGGATCCCATGGGCTTTTCCTTTCCTGCAGCTACAGCTCGGCACAGTGGGGGCCTGCTTCACATCAGGGCTCCACCACCTGGTGTTGTTATTACCTGCCATCCAGTCAGCCCCTGACCTAGAGCGGCTCCATGCACAACAGGAAGGCATCCTCATGAACCCTAGTGGTCCATAGGGCTTTCTTTGGCTCACTTTTACAAGTAGAACACAAAGCCTTTCATCCCTATTTGTCTTAGTCAGGAAGGTCCGTTGAAACCTGCTCATAATCATAGCAACATTCCAGTCCCCCCTGACAACCAGGTGGTGGGCTTACATGAGGTACACTATGCTGTGGTTGTTGTTAGGTGTCACTGAGTTTGTTCTGACTCATAGTGACACTTTGTACAACAGAACCAAACACGGCCCAGTCCTACACCGTCTCACTGAGGGTCTTCTCTTTTTCACCGACCTTACATTTTACCAATTATGATGCCTTTCTTCAGTGACTGATCCCTCCTGATTACATGTCCAAAGTACGTGAGATCTTATCTCACTGTCCTTGTTTAAAAGACACATTCTGACTGTACTTCTTCTAAAACAAGTTCGTTCATTCTTCACAGTTTGCCCCTGGTCCATGTCCTTTCCATCTTCTTCACTAGCACCATAAATCAAACACATCAATTCTTCTTTGGTCTTTCTTACTCACTGTCCACCTTCCACACGCATATGAAGGGATTGGAAATCCCACGGCTTAGGTCAGGCACACCTTAGTCCTCAAAACGACAGCCTTTTTCTTTACACTTTAAAGAGCTCTTTTGCAGTAGATTTGCCTAATGCAAAACGTCATTATTGATTTGATTTATTGACTGTTACTTCCATGGACGGAGTCCAGATGAGGCGCTGTGGGCTACTGTGCCGGACTGCAAAGTTGCTTTGAACTGTAAGGTCGGTGGTTCAAGCTCACCAGTTGCTCCTCGGAAACCCTATAAGGGTCACTATGGGTTGGAATCGACTCAATGGCACTTCACAACAACAACTTCCATGGACATTGATTGTGAGTCCAAGGAAAATGAATATGTGTGCCACTGGAACAGCCAAAGAGCATCTTCATCAGGCAGCTCTTCCCCTATCCCTGCTACTTCTTACCCAAGTGTCACACCCACTGAGTCTCATACTCATAGACAGCCTCCAAAAGAAGCCACAACAAGGTAAGGTATCTGTCATTGTCAGGGTCCATCCAGCCTGCAGTCATCAGAAAAAGACGAGGCTCTATAACTCAAATGCCTCCATTTTTCTATGGTCTTCCTTATTCATTATCCAACTTTCATCTGTAGATGAGGCTATTGAAAACGCCATGGCTTGGGTCAGGCACACCTTAGTCCTCAAACTGACATCTTTGCTCTTGAACACTTTAGAGAAGTCTTGTGTAGCAGTTTGCCTAATGCAATACGTCATTTAATTTCTTGACTGCTGCTTCCATGAGTGTTGATGGTTGAGCAAAGCAAAATGAAGTCTTTGACAACTTCAATCTTTTCTCCATTTATCTTAATGCAGTTTATTAGTTCAGTGGTAAGGATTTTTATTTTCTTTACATTGAGATGCAACCTATACCGAAGGCTGTTATCTTTGATTTTCCTCAGTAAGTATTTTAAATCCTCTTCACTTTCAGCAAGCAAGATTGTATCATCTGCATAATACAGGTAGTTAATGCGTCTTCCCCCAATCCCCCAAACCTGATGCCACGTTCTTCTGCAAATAATCCAGTTTCTCGGATTATGTGCTCAGCATACAGATTGAATAAGTATGGTGAAAGAATACAGCCCTGGTGCACATCTTTCCTGAATTTAAGCCATTCAGTGTCCCCCTTTTCTGTTTGAATAACTGGTTATGTCTATTGAGTACAATCAAGTACTATGAGATACCCAACCTTTGCAATAGTATCCAGAGTTTATCAGGATGCGCACAGTCGAAAGTCTTTGCGTAATCGATAAAACAGGTAAACATCTTTCTGGTTCTCTCTGACCACAGCCAAGATCCATCTGACATCAGCAATGATAACCTAGTTCCACATCCTACTCTGAATCTGGCTTGAAACTCTAGCAGTTTCTGTGGAGGCACTATTGCAACCATTTTTTCATTATCTTCAGTAAAATTTTATTTGCATGTGATATTAATGATATTGTTCGATGAGCTTGTTCCATTGGGTCACCTTTATTTGGAAT